ATGATCGTGCAAAATAATTGATGTGGCCCGTCTTGAGGACGGGCTTATAGGCTAGTATTTACATAATTTCGAATTATTAAAAACATTCCCAGTTGGTTTTAAAATTCGTAATAAGTAACGGATTATATCTAGCGATTCCGCTCTATCATTAGACCTATGGATCAACTTAAAATGCTAAGCAAAATTCCATAATTCGATCGTGGCGTGCTAATATGCAAATTGCAATTATTTTGCAAAGTTCAACATCTTGGATAATTGGGGTCTAAAATCGAGGCAGCGGCGAAATTCTAGCATAAAATAATTTTTAAAAATTATTTCCAGTAATATTTCACCAGGTTTGAACGATTTTGACATAAAACTCAAAATTCGCAAATAATTCGAACATTTTTGCTCGTGTCGCGAAAACTGATCATGCGCTCCCCCAATATTATTTCAGATTCTTTATATACACAAAATTACGGAAATTTTAAGCCATCAAACTCGAAAATCGTACGAGTGCGAAAAAACACGATCTCATTGTATATATCTATCTTAACTATTAAAATTATTAGAAAATTGCAAAATCAGTTATCTATTATTAGCTCGCCCTGCGTAGCACGAGAGCTATTGAATTCCTCGTGTTCGTCCGTCCGTCCGTCTGTTGACGAGTTTTTTGCATTAATTGATGCTGATTAAAAATCCCCTTGTCCATTATAGACTTGTTTAGCCCCACCATTGGTATAGAACAATCCGAGCGCAAATGGTGCAAGTTAATTCAGCAAATAGATCGAGATAGGACTATAATTTTGGAATAAGTAGCACCGTTAGTACCGAGCAATTGGTTGTTAAAAATGATGCGTAACAAGTGGGCCATCTGTTTCCCCCAAAAAATCATGTCAGAATTCTGTTCTATTTGTTCGATTATTCTGCACCATTAACGCAAAAATATATAAATTTTATAATAAATAATTGGGGAAGGGATGTCCTACGCACCAATGATGCAGAATGTCGGGAGAAAGAACCATACAATTTTTTCAAAGTTTTCAAAATTATGTTCCCCGTTGGTCGCAAATGTTGCACTAGTGGTGCAAACTAATTCCGGATTTTTTTTATATTCTTCCGTTGATATTGCGCCATTGGTGCAAGAATCTATGAGAGTTACAATCTATTTTGTCGCCTTATTCCGTACGTTTGGTGGAAAGTTATATGACAGGGTGAGCTACTTCTAACGTTACTACGGTTTATTATTGAATCAACTGGTTTCATTTTAAATATTACAATTATTTTCATACCTTGGAAAATGAAACCTTTTTATTTTCATAACTTCTCGACCTGATGTTACTTGTCACCGATTGAATGCTGAATACTTGGCGAAATGCCTCCGTCGTCGCGACAATAGATGAAATATGATCTTCTTGATTTTGAATATTTTCAATAATGTTTTCCGCTCCTCTTCATCTTCTTCCGTCTGAATTCAATAAATGAGTTATTTATACAGGGTGGTTTATGTAAATGCCAGGTTACAATGGAAAATTTTTCAATGAGAAAACTCATAAATTTCGATTAGTTGCGGATTTGGGAGTGAGATTTTTATTAATTTTTATCAAAACTTATGGAACATTGATGACAAAATTCTTAAAATATTAAATTTCACAGGCAAAATTACGGTAACTAATCTAGATTTGCGAGTTTTCCAATTGAAAAATTTTACATTATATATAGCCTGACGTTTAAACCACCCTGTACGTCCAAAATTCCAAACAACGTTTTTTTACATAAATTATTTCCAGACCAAAAAAATGTTTCGTGTCCCTTCCAAATTTTCGTACAAGTTTTGCAGGACTTGCAACAACTCGAGATCAATGTCTTCAAGGAACGGGAGCTGTGAAGTGGATGCTATTTTCGAGTGGACGGATACATCTTCCCGCTCTTTTACCATCGCGTGTTGCAAAGCGTTGTGAAAATTTTTTTATGTATTACTTCAATCTCGTCAAATTTGTGTGTAATTTCGTAAAACCTCCTTTTCAGCGGCCTGAGCCAGCTTAAAAACCCTTCATTTTGGGCTGAGGGTAAAGAATAAAATAAAATTTAAAATTTTTAAAACATTATTTAGTGGGAATATTTTAATTATGGCCGAAGCATTAAAATTATGCTTATTTGTAGACCTATTCAAAATTTATGCAGAAATACCGGCCGCGGAAATTGTGGGGTACCGGAAGAATTATGGGATAGGAAGAACAGGGACTTATTCACATGGACAAGATTCGATTATGACGAATTTCTTGGGGTACCATGTCCCCCTGCTTCTGCCGCCACTGCGCAGAAATGGACATAATTATAATGCATAGACCATATAATTATGTCCATTTCTACACAGTATCTGCGGAAGCAGGGGGACAAGGGAACATTGTACCACCACAAATTCAGCAAATTTTAAACATTATTTGTTAGATATATATTATTTTGCAAGTAATTAATTATTCAAAAGATCCGCTACGGATATCGTATTGTTGGCAAAATTTTGAAATTCCGTGCTGTCCGGATATATATGAAAAATCGTTTTGGCAAGATATAGCCATAAATAAATACATGCTTGCACATGGGTCGTTTCCCCTTTTTTCTGTACACTTAGGTCTTTTCTGAATTAAGCATCGACTGCACTTAGGTTGTTTCTGAATTAAATACCGACTGCACTTAGGTCTTTTATGAATTAGTAGGACGATATATATTTACGACGAGCCATCCCAAATGAATGAAATGCGTCCCCCAATACTCAAATACGGTATGACTGTCAAATGGACATGACAATTACATGAGCCCTGGTTCGGGCTAAAAATTGTACAATTGGCTTTACAATTTTTAAATGTTATTAAATAAAGCTTTTATTAATGTGTTGAGAAGTAAAATAGAACACCTATTTATCCATTTCATTTCCCATTTACGTATGTACATGAACTGGAGGGATGAACTGAGGAGAATGAAATGTGCTGGGTATGATAAGTGAGGGAATGATGCGTGGGGGAATGAGGTGTGCCCGGAATGACATGTGAAGATATTAACTGTGGGGGAATGATACGTGGGAAATGTAATGTGGGGGAATGATGTGTGGGGTATGTAGTGCCCGGACACCCTCAAATACCATATCATGGGGAACGTCCGTATATTACGTCATCATTTTAGTGGGCGAGTGGTATAAGTCTTCCTATCTTTCCCATATTAAAATTCCCTATCCCTTAATTTACATACATGAACGTTGGGTGGATGGGTGCTAAAAACGAGCATGTTTGATGACTAACGAATGGTCGCGTGCTATGAGACAGAGAGACAAAAAAGGTCGGATTCATGCGAGTCCTGGGTCCACTGCAGCGTCTAGGAATGGGTTCGGATCGGATTTTGAGGTCTTCGGATCAAACCGATTCGGATTATGCAGGGTCTCGGATTGATCCGAGACGGATTAACCAACCAATCCGATCCGACTAGGATCAATCCGACGGATTTCGGATCGGATCGGATTAGTCTTATGTTTGTATATGATTGCGATACATAATTACAAATGTACAATCATGTAGTCTAAATACTCAAAGGGTGATGCCAACATATTTACATACATACCTATGTATACATATATGTATATACAGCCTAAATTATCCAAGAATTATATATGCGCACTAAATTTATACAACCCGACAAATATGCAACAAATAGGATGTGTATTATTATTGAATCATATTTTCAAAGCGGCAATTCTGGTACAAAAAGATAATTATGTCAAAAAACCTTGGAATACAATCTGAAGCTTTCTATATATTCATTTATTGAACAATAAATAATTTACCCCATCTGCTGACAAAATTTTTAACTTTAACTTCATATTATTAGTTTGCACCTCGATTTGAGTCATTGTACCTGATATATCAACGGTTCATAACCAGAGTTCTTATAGCGTAGCTTATATTTTTCGAAATGTGACTCATCCTACTTACAAAGTAAACTGCCGAGGTGAGATCGTGTCCAGGGTCCATCCATATTTTCGTGCAAAACTCATCCGCGTCATGGCATGATGCAAAGCTAAAAATCTGAATTCTAGACCAATTTCAAACCTCCATAAATTCAGTTTCCGCGGGATTTTCCAAACTTTCGCTTAAGATAATCACTAAAGTCAAAATTTTAAGAAAAAAATAAACAGCTACAAATTTTAAATTTTTGAAATATTTGTATGATTTGTTCGACGCATCCTCATGATTCAGAAAATGTGAAAGTTTTCAAAAAAAATTTACACAATAAATTTTTTGAAAAATTTCACGGTGGAAGTTGGACTATTTGCCATGATCTTAGTCAAAAGTTTTGCAAATCTGTCAAGGATATCAAAAGTTTTGTCGGTTTTAAAATTAAAAACAATTAAATTTGTCGAATATGCCGCCACGCCATGGCGCCAAATATGAATTTTGCCGATACCATGAATGAAACATAATGGATATCCTGGACCCGACGGGAACCTCGGAAGTTTCCCTCGTTTTCCTAAATAGTTGCTTGCAACTTGCGAGAAATTTCTAAATTTCATCTTTCAACTACAATTTTGAAATTTTGGCACATAACATCACTGTCCCACTTGTATAACCCCCACTACTGCACACTAGTCAATCATTTCCGATTTCCCTCAGCTGAAACCAGATTCCTAATTTGTCATGATTTTTTGTCATTATCTGAATTTGCCGTCTTGAAAATATGATTGAATAATTGTACACTTATAGAATCTACTAAATCCTGTATATTTGTTGCATATTTGTCTTTACATATTTGTCTGGTTGCATAACCGTGTGCGTACATATTTATATGTCCCTGCATAGTTTCCGGTTGAATATTTTTCACCACAAATATCACTGTTTCTACTGAAAGGGTGACCTTAACGCTACTCAATATGCATTTGTCAACAATGGTACTTTATTTTTAATTTTTATAATTTTTTGTTATTAAAATAACAAAGACAAGGAAAATTTTATCCTAGTAAATAATTAAGGTTGTTAGTCAAGAATTTTTGACTTTGCCCATGATTTTAAGCACATGCATTCACTAATTGTTCCAGAGGAAAGTTTATATCGATTTCCAATCAAAAGTTTGGCGCTGGAAAATGCACGCTCGGAAGGGGCACTGGTCGCTGGTGTTGCTAAATAGTCACGAGACATTTTGGCCAGTCCTGGGAATTGAGATTCATTGGCCTGTAATGAAAATATGAATTATGCATAACTAAATAATGACCAAAATATTTATAACTTATAAGTTATAATGCTCTGAATGTATCTACACACCTTCCACCATTCTAGTCGATTGCACGGCACGCCATTATTTTCATGTGCAATCACAGGAAGAGCCATATAGCGGTCAAATTCGCTTCGCTCATCTAGTTTGCGTTTTTTGTAAAGCTGGGCTACTAAGGAAGTGCTGCATTCTTGTGTAGGTACCTTTTCAGGAGACATTTCTACGGGGCTGATGGCATAATTTGTAAAGACCTGCTGTGTCTTCTCCTGTACCGCATCTATGCTACCTTGTGTCCAATTCTTATCTTTAAAGAAGGATCCTTTCAGAGTAGGGTCCAAAATAATTGCACATCCATATATTTCGTTAAGAGGAGTACTCTGTCCTGTTAGGTTGTTGTACTGGGCGATTTTATCATGACGGCGGACTGAAATTCAGCAGCTTGGTTGGTCGACTTGTTGAACTCTGCAATGTTTTCTAGCAGATAGTTGTAGACTGGGATTAAATACTGTATAGTTGGATACTTATCGCCACAGAGATAAGTAGAGGCATTTTCGAAAATCTAAAACAACGAAAAGTAAACTCACGGCGTTGAATTCCCTGAAACTTTAATTATGGTGCATGCCAAAGTACATCGTATTTGCACAGTTAGAAAAATTGACGCTGAAACTGACATCGGCGTTGATGAATTTGTTTTGTCTATTATGTGTTCTTCAGACCTTTGGTTAGCCATCCTATATCGCCGTTGCCACGAATGCGTACTAAGCAGCTACGTTTCGAGAACAAAATTACCGAACTACAAAAACCCTACAGTTTTTCTAACTGTGCAAATATGATCTATGTATGACCTTGTAAAGTACTGATCGCTCCGGTTTTGGGTTTTAAGGGCGAAGGCAGGAAAAAATAGTCATCGATAATTCAACTTACAGGTAATTTCATATAGTTCTAAAAAACTTACAGTGTATGTATTTCATTTAAAAAATTGTTTCAGCACGAGCCGAAAACGATGAATTTGCGAACGGACAATGCAGCAAATTCAGGAAAATTCAGGACTGGACAAAACTTGGGAGCCTTAATCTCCACAAATTACAATGGCATAATAAATTGTCTAAAGGGTAAAACTAACATACAACCTATGAGCATTTGTACAAATTCAGATTCTTTGAAATAAATGGAACTATAATAAAATGACGGTCATTTTTCCATCTTCACTTTACTTTTGGCATGCACCACATAATATTAAATTCATGTGCAAAAAAATACCTCCAAAAACCTGGACGTGCTTTCCAATGTTGCCCATTCATGTTCATCCAGAGCGAGGGACCTTAGTTCTGGCTCCCATGAAGCCATAATCTCAACGGCAGGTTTTAATTGAATTGCACGCATAATCATTTCATATGTGGAGTTCCATCGAGTTTTACAATCTAGTATCAGAGCAATTTCCTTCAAATTGGAAGTTTTACAGGCAGTGAGAAACTTTTGACGCCTTTGGGGCGAGACTCTTATCTTGACTACCAGTTTACGAAGCTAAAATTTAAATAATCGTAATTAGTTTTTACTACATACTACAATTTTTTCCGTATTATTGACCTTATTGACAGCTCCGATCGGTTGAAAATCGGTTTCCTCGGAGTCCAATGGAGGTGCCTTGAGCCCATTGATAAAGGCCGTAACCGCAAGATGAATTATATGAGCTATACATCTTGTGTGGTGATCTTTGGGACAGAATTTTTTGTTGGACTCCGCAAATGCTCGGCACAATGTATTATTATTACTCGCGTTGTCGGTGACAAGCGCCAGAATCTAGAACACAGTAAGATTTTTAAATCAAAAAGCTTCTATCGTACACAAGCTAGCTTTTAATGACAGTGTCGTTGTAATTAATAACAAATGTATCTAATTGACTACAAGAAAACGTGAAAAATCAATGCTAGTTAATTAAAATTTCTTTGCCATAATGTAATTGTAATTAATAATTAATTAACGATTTGGCTCCAATTAAGCCAAAACCTTAAGTTATGTGGCTAATTAGTTTGGGTAATTAACGACTCATGTTTAAAATTTGAATGCCAACATGTATAAAATCTTAATTTAGGACATGTTTTTAGATGGGTAGTCTAAATTAATTTTGCCGTTAATTACTCTCAAATGTGTCATTATTCATTTTTTGCTAATTTAATTTTTTGGAATATTAATCAAATAAAATCTTTCATTGCAGTATTATGCAAGGACATGTAATTAATTTGTTATCAAGTAATTAATTGGAATTTAAGTCAGTATTAATTTTCAATTAAGTAATTGTAATTGCGGTCAATTATCCAGCCGCTTTATTTATTACTTGAGTACTTAATTATTTGCTCTCGTCAATTGGAAATAAGTAATTAGCAATTAATTACATACTCAAGTAATTTTGCGAGATGACACGAAATTATTTGAGAAAAACTAATTTTGTAACTCGCCTTGTTTTCACTAATGTGATACTTCTTCAACGTATTAAGTAAAGCATCAGCAAGATTCTCTCCAGTATGCGGGCCATCTAAACTCACGAAATCTAACACCAATTGAATTTGTTTCCAGTCTTGAGAAATATAATGAGCCGTGATACACATGAAGGCCATTTGTGAAGGTGATGTCCACGAATCCAGAGTTATTGATATTTTAGACTCCATACCCTAGAAGTTCCACGTTTGGATTATCATTGGTATGTTTCAATATTTCGAAAAAGGTACTACCTGAATCAGATTAATCAATTTATCTTTCTTATCTAAATAGAGCTCCAATATCCACTTTTTGAGAGTCTTTCGCGTAGGTATTTGTGCCATCGGATTAAGGGATGTAACAAATTTTCGAAACTCTTCATTCTCGACTTCAGAAAAAGGCTGGTCACTAGATGTAATCCAATCCACTAATGCACTCTTCATTTGCTCCTCGTCAAACTGTAAGATTTAGAACCATAATTTTAACATTTATTTTAAGGGGCCGTTCATAAATTACGTAACGCAAGAGGGGGGGAGGGGGGGGGGGGGAGGGGGGGGAAGGGGGGTCAAAGCCTCCAATGGTATCGTTCCTATTTTACGCATGTTAAAGGGGGAGGGTGGGTCTGGAAATTTGCAGTTTTCGCGTTATTTATTTTATGGACGGACCTTAAGAGGTAGCAATGTGTAGTTTACCTTTTGTGGATTTTCAGGTTTAAAATAGCTGCTTACAGATGTACCGCTCATCATAGTAGTTTCTTTGGAAGGATGCTTATTTCGAATATGAGTTTGAAGGGTTTTAGTACTGCCCATAGATTTACGGAGGTCATATCTACAAAAACGTGCACTGTGAGTACTCAAGAAACTTAACAAATTAAAAGTTAGTTATCTTACACAACACTACAGTAGTTGCATGCCTTTCCTACGAAAGTTTGTCCGTTCTTTTTAACCTCCTTGTCCGAAAAATGCTTCCAAACCCAACTTTTACCTTGGTTCAGCTTTGGCGGATCGAACCCTTGGGGGGCAGGTCCTTGTGAATTGCCTGCATCGTCATCGTCGATAACTACACTTCCGTCGTCGTCCTCCATTATCTTACTATACATAATCTAATTTTTTACTGGTACAGAATTTAGCTTTAGCTTTAGAAATATTATTAGGCACGAGATTTGCCTGTAGTGCGGAGGACGAGTTGGTGAAATCTGCCTCACAATTTGTGAAGTGCGGGCGTGGAAGCTTTTGGGGCGATTTCATTCGAACCCAAAAATCCAATATCCATTGATTGAAACATTGCGACTTAAGTTGTCACTTTACATGACTTCGACTTTAAAATGTTTACTGATATGATATGCAAATTTGTGGGATAGTTATTTTGTTAATTAAAAAATTTGTGATAAATGAGTTATTCTGAACTTTTTCTTCTTTTCACTGTAACTTTTGTTTTCATGATTAACATGTGATATACATACATACATACATACTTAATTTGATAAGAATGGCCCTGGATTTTCAATACATTTACGTTCCCGTACATAATTCCCAAATAGCATTCACAATATTGTACATGTGTAAGCCCGGGTTAAATTATTGCAAATTTAATGACGACGCTGCCAGCGTCGTCATTAAAATCACCCACTTTATATCTATTTAAATATTCCATGTCATAAACCAACAACTCATTTAGTTAATATGCAAATATTCCATTACTTCTAAATTCAGATTTTCTTATATTATTCATTTTGGACGATTTGGGTACTTTCATTAATTTGCTTATCGCATGGATATACCACAACAAATGTCCACTTAATGTGCACATCGTGTGCACTGTTGACTCTGGACGGTGTATCATACACCGTGTATGGAAGACATTAGAACTTTTCGGGCACTGGCGTAAATAGGGGTAGGTGGGGGAGGTCCCACATATCGGCCCCCAAGATGAGACGGCCCCCGGCCGTCGGACGCTTGTGTGTATATATTATTGGACTTTTTTCATTGCCGAATAAAATATTTAGAAACAGGAATAATTAGTCGAAGAAATTTATATGCTGGCAAATCTAAAGCTGTTACCATTTCATCCACATTTTGCAATTTGTTTTTGGTTGATGAACAGGGTGCATAAACTTATTTGCTCTCCGTGGTTTCTCCTATACAGGCTGTAAGATACAGGACTGATTCTAACTTAGAAGCTATGCATTTATTTGTGCTATATTTGTATAATACGGACAGTTGTCACGCTATGCGCAAAAAACTACCCGCTACCATAAATTTCGACACACATTTTGAAACACTCATGGGTAGTACGGGCAACGTTGTTTCGGTTGTGTAAACCATATGTTGTAGGTTCAATTCTGGATATGGCTCATTTGAGAATTCATTAGTCCTGAGGATATGACGCCATAGTTCTTGACCTTGTTTTTTTCACCGAAATCGCCACTTTTTTGGTCTATTTCCCCAAATTTAAGAGGTCATCAATGTTCCTATGACATGTGAATGTTTCCTGGGTTAGTTTATAAGCCATGTAACTCCAATTCGTCGATTTTGTAAATTTTTGAATTGTAGCATGGTAAAATTTGAATGTTTATAATTTTGAGTCGTTTTGAGTTAATTAACTCCCTTCAACAATTGAGTACCCAACTTCAGTTTTCTGACGAATCTTGAGCTTAATTGTTGTTTTTATAGTTGGTGACATCTCACCAACGTCGCTTAGACGGCTTTTTGTATATGACAAAATTTCTGCTCGTTCGTAGTCCCACCGTTTTTCGGATCCATCATAATTTTTCTAATTTTTGTTAAATGTTTAATTGCTGCTCAACTTAACTTTTTATCGGGACAATATGAAGGTCATGATCGACCTATGATATTGGACTACTCATGGTAAAATTTTCAAAAATATGCATTAACAGGTTCAGAAATAGTAGCTGAATTTGTCTCCGCGCGGGTAGTGAAAACTGACTGGGGAGAAAATAAATACGAACCCTTTATAACAATTAATTTAGATTTAGGAAGTGTGTGCAGAGCAAAAAGGCAGGCAGTGCCTTTTCGTCTTCCTGTTTGCCTTTTTGGCCCACAAAAATGCGTGCCTTTTTGTCTTTTTGCCCTTTTGCTAATTGGGGCGAGATGAGACAATAGGCCTATGATAAAGTTAAAGTGAAAGTTGTTCATTGCGTTTTTATAATTGCCCTAAATATGATTTTTAGCCCAAAATTTGATTAATTTAAAGCTTTAGCGGACGACGATGTAGAAACGACGCTAAAAATGTCTTGGGAGAAGTCTTCAACTAATTTAAAGTATTGAGGAAAGCTAGAACCCTCAACTACAATTTTAAGAACATTAAATATATTCTGTCATTTCCTCAATACGTTATAAACAACAATAAATTAGTTTCAATCATGAAAATCGAGCAAGTAGGCAAAAAGGCATCAAAAAGGCAAGAAGGCACGCAAAAAGGAAAACGGGCATTGAAAAAGGCATGAAGAACTAGCAAAAAGGCTGCCTTTTTGCACACACTGGATTTAGGCCCCCATATCCAGCTCACATGCCGGCCCCGAATCTATAGTTCCGCTACTGTTTTCGGGCACACCCCGAAAACTTTGCTTTCGAAAGCGAAAGCTTTTGGCACACCCCCAACTGGAACTCTAGAACCCGGCCTTGGCCGGGCTAAACCCCAGTAACTACATAAATAAATATGACCATATAAATATTATTTTAAATAATATTTATGCAGTCATATTTATTCTTTCTTAATAAGAAAGTATGTATGCTTGCCATAACATATGTACATATGTACGTAAGTAACGAACCCTTCAAAAATATTTCAGGGTTAATCCTTTTAGGAAATCAACCTATCGCTTAAAACCTCACTCACTATGAATAACCTAAAGTGACCTTTTTCTTGGAAAATACATATCTATTTATCACTCAAATTCCAACATACCTATGTACTTATTTATCCTATGTTCAACCTTTGCTCTAAATATTTTTGGAAAGGCAAATATACCCTTCTTTTTGAGTCGAGGCATTAAAATTATGCCCGTTTTTAGACCCATTCCTTACTCAGAAATGGAGGCGGAAGAAGTTAGGGCAAATACGTGTGGTGCCGTAAGCCTCGTGGATGTACATTTATGAGTAGGGCGGACTTATTAACATTGATAAAATACGATTACGCTGAATTTGTGGTGGGACAATGTTCCCCAGTCCACCTGTTTCCGCTGCTACTGCATGTGTACATATGTAGAAATGGCATAATTATAAAGCCTTGGCGACTTGTTGTCCAGGTATAAAATGGGTAGTCTGGCATTATTATTGCTCATTGCAACGGCCACACTCGTTTCGAAATAGTTGAATATTCATATTTTGGTGCTTAAAGATTACAGAATAAATTTTGAGTTTTTCCTCAACCTTAACCTCAACTATCAATTTTATAGTTAGATAAATATATAGCAAGCAGGAGTTTTAGATTACAATTAAACCTGGTAATTTAATTAGATAAAGGTAAAGCATGAGTGACATTTCCGGAACTATGGTAAAATCTGAAATTCCTTCCGAAATGTTGTCAAAACCTGAATTTGACTGGAACGGAAGTCACTACGATCGAGAATTGAACCTCTTTCTCACCGGATATCAAAGTGATTTGATTCTCCATCTGGGAAGTGAAGGGTTAAAGGTATCTTGTCTAATCTAATCCTAAGTTTACGATCATGTATGAAGTAACGATTTAACTTTACGTATTTATGTTTTATTGATCAATTTATAGATTCCCGTGCACCGAATATTTCTCCAGGCCGGGTCACCAGTGCTGAACGAAATGCTCAAGAGAACAGCAGCGGATCTAATTATTAAAGACGACGTCGATATTCGAATTTTTAGGATGCTACTTAGGGTAAAATTCTTTAATTACTGAGAAATTGAAAAGTCTGCACTCTCAGGGGGCGGCGGAAGTTGGGGGGTGGGGCAAATCGTCCCCCCTGGATGCTCTATTTTTGGGTAATAAGATTATTGTCACCAACCGGAAATAAGTCAAAAACTGATGTACCAAACAAAGTTGATGTCGTTACATTTAAAAATGAAAATAATGATTTTTTAAATAATTAGTTAATAAATTTTAATTAATTATAAATTTAAAAAAAAAAAATTTATGTATACTCAGGTACTTAAAATGTTCATTTTTTATTAAAGACGTCACCTCTGTTTCGTACCCCGTTGGTGAAACAATGACTACGCTACCCAGAAATAGAGTGCTATACATGGTACTTCCAGCGGGTGACGATTTGTCGCTAAGTAATCTAAAGTGTATTTATAATTGAGTAATTATTTTTACTCTACAAATCATTTCCAGTATTTGTACACGGGAAAGTCCGACGTGGAAATGGGGGATGCCCTTCAACTAATGCAACTTGCGACCAAATATCAAGTCCAGTGTTTGCGAGACCACTGCGCTACTGTTTTGGAGGGGGATTTGACTTTGGAAAATGTACTTCCTTTGTTTCAAAGTGGGATGGAATATGCTCACGGGGACTTTATCCAGTCCACGCTCAAATTCATTTGCACGTAAGACTAGACCTGATAAATTCACGTTTTTAGGAGTATGAGTAACTACAAGCAGTGGCGGCGGAAGCAGGAGGGCTTTGTCCCCACAGAAATGCTGCAAAATGTTAAAAAGTCCCTCCTATTCCTATCTCATAATGCTAATGTCCCCCAACTTCCGCCACCACTGACTACAAAAAATTCACTAACCCGGAAACGTTATGAGTATGTTGTGGTCACCATGCGTAAGTACTAATTTAGTGGTTTTAGTAGAATTCGAACAAAATGAAATATCCAGAATTTAACGTTGCATTGTATTCAGAAATACCCTACTTTTTAGCAGGAAAATGTCCAAATTTAACATTGGGATGGTATATGAAAAATTCCACAAAATTGTGATTCAAGAATTTACGTATTTCAAATCTTTCAGAAACGACATTTGCCTCATTACGAATCAAAATGTTAAATATCTGTAAGGATTATTTTCACAGTTGGGTAATTTTATCTGACAGGAATGCACGAAAAATTTTGAAATCTGACCACTTCACCACGCTTCGACTGGACTGTTTAATCGAAGTTATTCAACAGGATTCACTCCAGGTCAGGAACGAAATAGAGGTGTTTGAAGCAGTGTATCGGTGAGAATGAGCATGGTTCAATTACTTAATTCAAATAAATAATGATTGATTTATGTATGTCCTAAATTGTTTATATGCAAATATCTCCAGCTGGGGTCAGGCCGAGTGTACGCGTCTCTCTTTGGATTTTAAAAATTCTGAAAATCTCCGGAAATGTTTGGCCAAACCACTGACTCATATCCGATTTCCGTTAATGAGTCATAAAGACTTTGCTCTAAAAGTGGCGTCAAAGAAGCTGCTAAACGTCGAAGAGACCATGGAACTACTCACCTCCTTTCTTCTCCCCGTGGATGAAAGGTTAGCACTGAAAAATTTTATACCGTCAAATTTGTATCCTGTATAAAATAGTATACATACGAAGGTAAAACATGGCGATAAGCTTCGGAAAAATCGTAATCATGATTTTCGCTGGCAAAATCGCACGATGCTTACAAAATCTCGTACATAACTTAGTTTTCAATACGAATAATAAATACTAGGATACCAACAAATAATCACAATGAAGGTCTCCGAACTCACATATGCTCGCTCATAGGCGCAGCCACGGATTTTTTCCAGAGTGGGCACTTTTTAAAAAAATATCATACCTGTAAATAGTGATTTCAACGTTACTATCTGGAAGTTTTGAGAGATATGTACACATACATATCTAACGCGCTACTTATGCGGGCCTATAATTTAAATTATTGCCTCTCAACCTGGGCCTTTTCTGTGTATTCAAATGGCGATTTTGAAATCTGTCATCTCCGATCGTTTTTTTAAAAATGAAGATTATAGTATACTATAGATACATCTAAAAATTAAAAGTTTTTAATTTAAATTGCAAAGTTAAGAGACTATGTAGAACTTGGACTTTTCTCTTTCATAAAATAAAATAAATCGAATATACTAACAATGCACATGTCAGACATGTTTTTTACGAATCATCTTAAAACCAGTAGTAAAAAATCATGGAACGAAACGCAGACAACAGTTGGTGTAGCACTTGAGCCCTTCTGCAGAATTCACGGAATGGCGAAGGTTTTAAATTGGCAAAAACTCGGATTTCGACCATGTGAAACTCTGCGGAGATCACCTCTCCGCGTTCCGGTTTTCTCCTTCGCCAGGTCATCAGTTCTCACCTTCAAGACAAATTTGATTTATTTATTTTCCAACCAAGTTCTCATTCGGTTTTTCAAATATTTACCTAACGATTTTTCGTTGGATTTGAAACAATTTTAGCACGTTTAAATAATATATAAACTATATAGATTCATATTCAATTAACTTCTTACCAGTGAAAAACTAACAAAAATTGGTTCAGAATAATAGTTCATACAATTTTGTTCTTTCCTTCGCATAGCGCGTTTTAAAGACTTCAATGAGAAAAATTATGTCGTTGTTTGATCTTCGTCCTTATCACACATACGAATATAATAAATAGGTTTATGAATAAAAACACAATGTGAAAGAAACACAAAAAATTCAACTATGCTGAACCAATTTTAAAGGATTTTTCCTTTCAGAAGTTAATTGAATCTTTCTAAATATTTTACTTAAATGTTAAAAAGCGTTAAAACATATTTAGAATCCAACGATGAAAAATCGTTCGGAAAATCGTTAAAAAATAGGATGAGAACTTGGTTAGAAAACTAATAAATTAAATTTCGCATTGAAGGTGAAAACCGCTAACCTGGCGAAGAAAAGCGCAGGAGAAAGTCGGAACGCAGAGACGTGAACTCCGCATGGTGAAAATGCAAGTTTTGCCCAACTTACAATGCACATGTCAGACATGTTTCCACGGATCTTCTTGAAACTAGCACTCAAATATCAAGGAACTAAACGCAAACAACAATTGGTGTGGCACTTGAGCACTTCTGCACAATTCGCGAAATGGCGATGGTTTTAAGTTGATCCCAAAAACGCGTATTTTCACCATGCGAAACTAAACGGAGTTCACCTCTTCGCTTTCCGATTTTCTCCTCCGCTTCTCTTCACCAGGTCATCGGTTTTCGCCTTTCGTTCAAAATTGAGTTTATTATTTTCCCAACCAAGTTCTAAGCCGATTTTTCATCTGTGACTTTTAAATAATTTTTTAACAATTTTTAATATTTTAAATGGATATAATTAACTTCTTAAGTGGAAATTATAATTTTGTAGTTGGTTGAGAATAGTGGATTCGTGAAAATAATTTCCACTGATAAGAAGTTATTTAAACTCATTTCAAATATTAGAAAGTGTTAAAAAATATTTAAAAGCCAAAGGTGAAAAATCGAATGACAAGTTGGTTGGGAAATTAGCAAATTAAATTTTGAAGGAAAAGTGAAAACCGATGACCTGATGAAGAGAAACGCAGGGGGAAGGCGGAAAGCGGAGAGGTGAACTCCGTAAATAGTATCGCATGGTGAAAATACGCGTTTTTGCCAACTTAAAACCATCGTCGTTGCGAATTGTGCAGAAGTGCTCAAGTGTCACACCAATTGTTGTTTATGTTTAGTTCCTTGATATTTTAGTGCTGGTTTCAAGAAGATCCGTGCGAAACATGTCTGACATGTGCATTGTTAGAACCTTGTATTTAGTTCCATGATTTTCTATTGCTGGTTTTAAGAAGAGGTAGGAATTAAATATTTTCTTATGGAAGAAAGAAAAACATAACCTTAATCTCATCATTTTGTAAACCTAAAAATTATCGATTTGCTGTTCTGAAATCTTGATAGAAAACGACCGGAGATGAACAAGTTTCAAAATCCTATTTGAGTCCATGGAAGAAGGGAAAATTGAGACACAAAAGTTCCCATTCAAAACCCGCATACCAAAGAAACAAGTTTAATATTTTAGTACCGCCTTTCTTCGTAAATTATTTCGCGATTGAAAATGTAATTTTGCACCGCATCCGTATTATGAAGTTAGATATTGAATATTTAGTAAGTATAGGTATGTAAATCTAGCCTAAGCTATTTGATGGAAATCAAGATCGGGGTATTGTACCTCGGGTTTTTGCGGATTTTGGTGAGTTTCGGGGTGGCAAAAAGAGCAATACAGACGGATAGTCGGTTTACTTGGGGTATTCAAGTTTAGTAAAGTGTCTGATATGTGATAAAAGGACATGCCTGATAATTCTACAGGTTAATTAGCTTTTAAAATTTAATTAATAACATGTTTTGTTGTGAAATTACTGGAAGGGTATCTCTTATTCAAGAATTAGACCCATTTTTCTCCGATTACCCCGATTATCCCGACTACCCGGATTACCTCGACTACCTCGACTACCACAAAAACCTAGACAAAACCCCTCGGTATGAGTTTTCAATAGGAGAGCCCCGGGGGTTTCAATAACGAAACGGTTTTCCATTCAGAACTTCGAGTTTTCAAAATCCTGAACATTATCTAATTTTTGATCTTTCAGGTGTTTCATCAGAAGAACTTATCAGATTTAGTAAAACTCAAATTCTCACGAAATTTGAGTTCCAGGTTTTTTGTCGGGTTTCTTCGTTTATAAAAATTATAACTCCTTCAAACTTTAAATTTCAATGGATTTTAGATACAGTCATTGCGAAATCATTGTGAAGCAACCTGTTTTCGAATTTGCAAATTCCCTATACAAGTCGAAAACTTTAAGGATGTTAAAAAGCCGAAGGTATGCATTTCTGGTAAATTGATTAAAATTCGCGCATATATAGCGTTCAATTTTAGCGAGGAGCTTGATGGTTACGTTATAGCACATTCTGAAAAATACAAAATATTGGTATGCTTATTTCATGTGTGCTTAACAAAATAAAATTCGTTCCGTGCAAATCTGCGTACTTATGTATGCGCATATCAAAAACCTGCACTGTAAGTTAAATTTCCAAGATCAGTAACCAATTGTTGTGCATTGCTTTAGTTTTTCTCAACTGCAGTTTTATTTCGTTACAATTTAGCCTGACAATGCGAAATAAAAATTAACTCATAATTTTGGACTCCTAATATTTGTCGAATTTAAAACTCATGATTGCAAATTTAGATATTAGTATTTGTAAGATAATATCTAATATTATCTCGTTATGATTTTTAAGTCGAGTCAGTAGGATTTGAAATGAATCTTGTGGGCAAAAAAGCCAAAATTGTGTAAAATTTTTTTACTGCATACCGAAAAATCGTGGGTAATGATTTCAAAATTCAAAACCTTGTTGACATATATTGATTTGGAAATGATTAAGCGTGATGGATTTGATTTGAATTTCAGCCCGCTCGCAATGTTAATCAAATGGGCACGTGCTTTTGGCGGGCAGAAATTCCATCACGCTTAATTATTTTCAGCACAATAGTGATAAAGAATTGGTAAGGGTACCAAAAATATTACACTGGAAGAATAAATTTCGGCGTATTTCTAAATTAAAAGTTATGTGAGCCATGTTGAAAACGTTAATTAAACCCTTGGAGTATATGGGAATATTTGAGGGTGGGCATTTGCATTAAGTGCCCACCCTGCGTTTTTCCAGGGTGGGCAATGCCCACCCTGCCCACCCCCTGGCTGCGCCTATGTGCTCGCTCACAGATTTTGACCAAATTATTTACTATTTACCAGTCAATCTCAAACTTAATTAGTATGAATTTTGCAAGGGGTGGTGGTTAACCAAACCTTGCAAATTTCATCGTAACTAAATTTGTGATCGATTGACACTAAAGTAAAAATGGGCTGGGTTGGGAGACCTCCATTGTTAGTGTAAGCGTCATTAACCCTTTAAACTGTAACGAAGACAATAGTCGTTTTATAAGGAATGGTTTAATTCAGGAGTAAGGCAAAAGTCGTCCTAAAAAATCGTGGTCATGGCGCGGACGGAAGACAATTGTCGTTTCTAGGAAGTCATTGATTTTCACCATTTTCTCTCTGTGACCTAAAATTTGTTGCAATTTTGAGGGATTTCTCCTATGCCAACACAATGCTAAATTTGAAGATTTTCTTCCTGAAAATTTGGATATTTCCCTATACAACGCAATGTTAAATTTTTTGATTTTTCAGTTTTTCGAGTTTTATTAAAACTCCTGATTTTCTCCTCCCGCGCCATGACCACAATATAATTATAGGGTCCCCGATTTAATGCATTTTCTTGTTAATCATACACGTTAAAGGGCTAACCTTAATTTCCTCTGTTCTAGAAATATGCTTCCACCCGGAAAATTCATGTCAAATCCACGACTCTATCTTACCAACTACATTGGTGCGCGTGTCACCGTCAGTCGGAACCTTGCCGGCGTTGCCAGACTAGTACGGAATATGACTGGGACACCAGGAAATACAAATGGCAGCGAAACTATTGTGTAAGTTATACAATTTTTGCCAACTTATTGTCCACTATTTTAAAATTATTCCCCAAGTGTATGTATGTACACATTTCCCCACCATCTTTCCTGACTGCATTTTAAGAAAATTTTGAGGTTGGGTCATGTCAATTCAAAATTTCCAGGAATATTTTTTTCACAAATTTTAAAGTTCGCAAATATGGGTGATTTATACTGGTAGAGTTGCGTTGTCGAGAGAAATAAAATAGTCCATAAAACACAATCAAAAATAGTGTACGTGAATAATTGTGTACATACATGAATAATTCTTGATACCGAACCTAACTTTGTCGATTTTTTAAACAGCAATTTAAATGGTGGGAATTCTATAATTTAGCCTGATTTTATTTACAACGAAACTCTCCCCCAAAAATCTTCTATCTGAATCTACATATCGTCGTACTAATTCCATAAAGACCGAAGTGCAGTCGATAGTTAATTTTAAAAAGACCGAAGTACAGAAAAAAATTCTAAAAAGACCTAAGTGCAGGCATGTATTTACTTATGGTTATATCTTGCCAAACCGATTCTTCATATATCGCGCTATTTAGCCATAAGTAAATACACACTTGCACTTAGGTCTTTTTAGAATTTTTTTCTGTAGTTCGGTCTTTTTAAAATTAATCACTGACTGCACTTCGGTCTTTCTAGAATTAGTACGACGATATATTCTCAAACTTTAAAATTTCATAACAAAATATTTGGCGAAATTTGGCGAAATTGGCATGACCCTATTTAGAGATTATCCCTGGCTCACAAAGTCAAAGGACCCTCGTCCCCACCATTTCCTCCGCAGCGTGCGGAGGCAAACAATCTAAATAAGCAATATAATAACAAAACTGAAACATCTCTCCCATTTGGAATTTCCACCACCGAAAAAGCTCTCCTGAGAACGATTTATGTTCCGAAAACAAATTTTGAAATGTTTGGAAGTCTACAAAATCAGACTTATTATTGGGATCGGTTACATGTCAATATCACTACGGTTTGTAAAAATTTGCACACGGCTTTGCACCAATAAGGCAGTGTGAACCAAGTGTTGAAATACTTATCAGTCCGACACGACGTGCCAAGCAAGTGCCAAATGACAACTTGGTACAAGATTGATAATGCCAGATCATGACGCCATTTGAGTTTTGTAAACATTGCACCGTGTGCAAATTCACTGAGTGCAAGTTATAATTATAAACTAAACTTAAAAAATTGCTTAGGTGAGACTAGAATTGCGATTAAGATTTGTAACTAAACCGTGGCCTCCACTATCAGAGAAAGTGTTCGTATTCCTAACATCACCGCCTTGGGAATAATTCATTGGGTTTCGTAATTATACAAATTTGAATCTAATAGTATGTATGAAGAAAATGTTTTACTAAATTTTTTAGTTATGATTACCTAATGGTTAGAAAATAACGGGAATATTAAGCAAGCTGAGAAATTTTACAAATTTGATTGTTTGTATGTTTAGTCATCTAACTATTTATTTATATTTATAACTTATTTAGAATTTGCACTAAGAAATTAATCCCAGGGCTGCGACGCCAGGAATTCGAATACTTACTCTGATTGTTGGGGAGGTGATTTATTTTCATATTTAAACACTCAACCCCACAGCAATGCTGCCTGGTTTCATACTACCGAGGGAGCGTTGTTATTTCTCATCCGTTGTTGGTCATGTAAAGTTTTTAGTGAAGCTAACAATATCTATTTTTCGAACAGAATTTTCAATTAAACCCCTAATTTTTGACTAATCAAGCATAAATCAAATTCAATGAGGTTTTTTAAAACATAGCACAGGAACGGAGAGGATTCCTTGTGTGCGAATGCCGATTCGGATTCAGCATTCTCATAATTGAGTCTGGACACGTATTTAATAAAAATCTGTCAAGCAACGGCAAAGTGGTGGAACCGTAGCTGAATGGTTCCTTTTTTCGTAACCAAAGCTCCACCTAAGAAACATCGGAATAAACTTTCAACATGATGAATGACAGAAGAATAATAAATTTTACAGATATGCATAACAACCACTTAAAACAACCTGGTATAAATACTGCATCATACGTACCATAAATTTCGTACTATATCATAAATAAATAGAAAAAAACGTCGTGACTAAATACTATAAAAATGAAGCTTGTTGCAATTGCTGTCGTTCTTGTCTTGCCTTTCAAGACTAAGGCAAGCCTTGCCTTAGTCTTGCCTTAGTTCGCATGCATGAAGTTGTATGTACGGGTAACCAACCCGCCATGACCAAATAACTGCAAGGCTAATACTCTGGATTACATAAGAAGCATATTTGGATTGTCTGGAAGAACTGGGCGTTAGATTTAACGAAATGGTGTGGGCGTAACATGCACATCTGCGCTGCTGCATTACAGAAAATGACGGGTGATTCGCAAGTGTCATAAGTATTATAATTTCGGCGAGCGAAAAATGCATCAGTCGAGCAAGAATTTTGCACACATTTTTTGTGCACATGTTATTTCAATTGAGACGGAGGGCGTATGTTGGGTACATTTTCTTTTGAAGGACACCAGTACAACAACTTTTTCGACTACTTACATTTATTTTTTTTATCCAACTTGTGTGTACCCAAATCCCAAAGAAAAATATTCAACTTGGAAAAGTTTTTATTTCCAAAGTGTAGCAGAAAATCCAAAATTGATGCTAAATCAATTAGCCTTTGGCTTTGTGGAACCCCATGGCTACCTCATGGAACCCTTGGCCAGGACCTCCATACATTTGGACCCCAATCAACCATACAACCCACCTTATTGGTATGACAACAAGTAAGTAAACTAGTGACAAATTATGCTATTTAAAATAAATTGCATTAGTCGCAATGATTTTTCGCTGAATTTGAATTACTGAGTCAGAACTGTACTCACTATATTTTTGGTTAATTAATAAATTTATCTCTCAGAGGAGTCTGGTGCAATAATGTTCATCAAGATCTCCAATATAGTCAGTGTGGAAGGTGAGTAGGAGCTTATCGAACATTCGTTCTAAAATAAGAAACTTCCGGTTATGAAGTTCTATAATCTGTTGAAAATATTGGTATAACAAAAATTAGCGTCTTTATTTTAATCAAGGTGTGGAGAGGCCGCTGGTAACTACGACGCTTCCCAAGGTGGCATTTACGACAAGGCGTCCTTACCGGCAATTACACTTCGGGATCTGTAAGCAGTAACTTCAATTTATAGTAGATAGCTAGTGAAAGCCGGTTAAAAATTAAGCTTAGCAAATTCAACTAATACCATACGATCATAAGTTCACCGAACATATTTTTCTAGATAATTGAAATCAAAGCAGGCCTTGACAACGCCCATTTTGGTAAGAACATTATGTTATAACGCTATTAAAAGTAAAGTTTCTCAAAATTAGCCTGCCTTCTGTTTTATATATTTGAACCCGAAACTTTCGCCTGATTGGTACAAAATGACTTCGAAATAGTGTACTTAAAATTTAGCTTAAATTGGGCGACGCGTTCGCACGTTACCCGTGCCTTTGTCATTCCACAAAATCAGTGAACACCTTATGTATGCAAATACGTAAATGCAAGGTGCCTGGACTAATGTTTAGCAATCATTTTTTCTTGTGTTTAGGTCACTTTCAAATGGAGCTTTGCGCCCAGGAGCAAGAGACCAACAACTGCTTCAACCTCCTTCCAGTCGTCTCGGCCTCGCAGCCGTTGAGAGGAGAATACCAAGTCTGCATCCCGTTCGACAACCCTGCACCACCTAATGACATTGTCACCGTCCGCCTCCAGCTCCCAGCCGGAGTTAGGTGCAGTAGGTGTACCCTCCGGTGGACCTACAGGTTTGAACACCCTTAAATAAATCCGAAAATAACAAAAAATTATTATCATAAGGGTCAAAAATGTTAGACTGCAGTATTAATTAGCGTGAACTGTATATATGCATGAGTCAATTTAGACCTAAATTGATCCACGTTGCGGACACATAAATTTTTTAATTTTAAAAATACTAATCACATAATTTTTTCAGGACCTCGTATCCTAATGGAGCACCAGGTAATTCATGAAATTACTTATACAACAAATCATTAGAAAGAATGAAAGATTATCATTCTAACTGATGTACTTCCCATCAATTTACAAAAAAATCATAAATTGTATGTTTTTAAGTGTGAGTTTATTTTTGTATAATTGTCCGTATTTCCCCAGACTGGAACAATTGCTATACTGCAGCTCCAGCCCAAACCTTCCGGAACTGTGCGGACATCAGCATCAATTAAAAACAGAATATAAAAATGAACACAAATTATTGTATCCCCAGTACAATCTGTACACAATGTGTAAACAATTTTATCAATATTCAAATAAAAAGCAAGATAAATAACTGCAGATATTTAATTACTTGGATTTTGTAAACCACCTTTCATTTGATTGGATAGAGTATGAAATAATCACAAGTTTAAAGTTAGTCGAGCATTGTAGTGCATAGACTATATTACTCTACGCTTCGCCGAGCAGCGGCGTGAGTTGGGAAGGTTGGGAAGCCGAAACCTGGCCCCCGCGAAGCGGTGGTCCGCAAAGCATGAGGTAAAACTAGAGGTGAGCTGGATATCCATTTTTTTGGATAATACATGGCCCGATCCAATCCAAATGGATTTGGATGGATTGGATCTAAAAATTTTTGGGCCAAATGGATTTGGATGGATTGGATCTGAAAAATTTTGGGTGAATTGGATTTGGATGGATTGGATCTGAAAAATTTTGGGTGAATTGGATTTGGATGGATTGGATCTGAAATTTTGTGGGTGAAATGGATTTGGATGAATAGGATCTGGGTGGATTGGATTTGGTCGAATTGGATAAATTTCGTCACCATAAAAAATATCAGGAAGTGTTCTTTTTAACACTCCGATCTCATCCTGACAGTAACTGGGCCATACTTTTGTTGCATGGCACACACTGTGACATATATATTGTCCAATCAGATTTATCCCGAACACTAACCATGAGTTTATATATATAATTCTTTGGATAATCCATGCCCTGATCCGATCCAACTGGATTTGGATGGATTGGATCTGAAATTTTTTGGGCCAATTGGATTTGGATGGATTGGAT